TGGGAACTGTCTGGCCATGCCACTGTCTGGGTGCACTTAGCAGATGGCCATTGCAGTGCTGCACCAGTGCTGCGCTTCCAGGGGAGCAATACATTGCTATTCCCCTGTAATTGCCATCGCACACCTCGGTGCTGCTGCTGGAGCAAGGAATGGTTCTCCACGATGCACTGGGGACTGGCAAAGCTGCTGGCACAAACAGGGTAATGAATGTTGGATAACTTGTATTGTTTCACAGACTGAGCTTAAATATTGAAGGAGCAGTATCCTCGTATCAGAGAGGGGCTTAAAGCTATCTTAAATCTAAGGCATGTTTTCCTCTCTGCACACAGGGATTTGCATGGGGACCTCACTTCAGCGTTAATGGGATTTGTGAGCTTGGAACGTATCCTAATGCACTGCCTCCCCAGTATCTCTTGTCTGAGTAAAACGAGTTTGAATTTTTCATCTTAATTGCAGACCTGTGATCTGGAGTAGATTTTCTTGTACTGAAAAGCATCAGCTTTCAGACCTGGCAGAGACATGTCCCCATGCACTGTGTGCCCACGTCCCACCGCTGCTTTGCCCTGCAGCAGCCACTTAGCCAGGAATCTCCCAGTGCTCCCTGCAATGCTCCCTACTGTGCACAGCCCAAGCGAGGCCATTTGTATGGAGTGTTGTGTTTGCTGCTCTCTAGGCCAGCACTGACACCAGGGCTATTCCCTGTGCTTCCCCTCCTCTGCGCAGAGCCACATTTCGGGCTCTTGCTGTTACTGTAGGAGCACTCTGTAAAGTTGCTGCTGTAGTGGAATAAAAAGTTATCACCAACCCCGTAGGGATCTGGTGAAGATGCTGGCACGAGAAGAGTTTGTAATGAGCTCTAAGACATATTAATGAAGAGAAGTATAATTATTATTGCTGAGTTCAATTACAGCCCCTGGATTACAAATATTCTCCCAGAATCCCTCAAGAAAGAAATGCATCTTGTCTCTGCAATTAAATAAACTGCATATCAAGGGGAAGGGAGAGGATTAAACTACAGAAGGAGAAATTGCTTCTGCTGGAGGCTGGTGGCCCCATCCTCCCGAGCAGCTCTCGGGGCTCTGAGCGATGGATCCCTACTGAGTGCCTGCACCGATGTTCTGATGGGATCTCAGCCCCAGGACTGCACAGCTTCTCCTTAAACACCGCTTCCATCTGCGGGGCCGTCTGTGGGAACGACAGCACTGCTGCTTGATGAATTCTGTCAGAGCCCAATATCTGAAAGCTCTCTTTGTGCAGCCTGATTGCTGTTTCATCTCTCCTTGCTAACTTGCTTTACACACCGCTGCAGCGCTGCCTTTTGATCGTGCAGGCTGCAGGAAGCGTGTTTGTGCTGCGAACCCCGCAGCTCTGTGACTGCACCGTGCTATCCATGGGGAAACTTTTGTCCAAACAATCTCTAATTCCCGAAAGATAGAGAGCTGCCGGCTTCGCTTTCTAGAAGAAATGGCAACAAGGAATAAACAGTTTTATTCTTCTGCTCGTGGGTGGTTTTCTATTCACACATCCTCATATCAAATCCAGTTGACAAAAGGGGCTCACATTGTGTGCCACATGGCTTCTGGTCGCCTGATGGACACCTGAGGGGCTGATGCTCCACCCTGATGGGTGAACTGGACAAGGGACACTCAGCAGGAAGGAACTGCTGCACACAGACTCTGCCAGGCCCTGGGAGAGGAGCAGAGATACAAGGCAAGGCACAGCAGCCCTTCTGCAGGCAGAAGGTGCCTTCATGCTGTAGTGTCATCTGATGGAGCTGCTCTGCCAGAACAGCTTCAAAAGAGTGCAGAGGATATGCACCACTGGTTTCTTAATGGAGGTGATGGAGGCATGCTTCCATGCAAAAAATATTTAAACAGATTGTAATGAGGATCTGACTTCATTACGGAGCCTTGTAGGGCTGATGACTGAATTGCTCCTGTTGCACTCAGGTCCCCAGTTGGAATGAATGCATGAGCACGCAGCACTCGAGGACACCAGAGCAGTTGTCTCAGTGTGAATCTTGCCAATGGTACAATATTGCTTGCTGTTGCATGAACAGAACATGTCTCCTCTGATTGTTTTTCCCTGCTCTTCTGAGATAGACGCTGTTTGAGGAGCCCCGCTGGTGGAAGGTCTTCTCAGAGGAGCAGACACAGCTTTTTACACGAAACCTCTGACATCAGGAGTGGAGGGGATAGAAAACCAACAGCAAATTGCCTTGCCGATGAAGCTCGATCCTTTCTGAAAGGAGTCTGTGAGACTTGGCAAAAGTCTGCCTCAGCAATCCATTCCATGGTCCCATTCCATGGTGTTTCAGCTGTAATTGTCCTTTTTTAATTTGGGGAGCTACTGAGCTGTAGCAATATTCCCCAAGCAGCTTAAACTCCCACTCCTGTAAGATACCAGGGAAGAAGATTCCTCTCGATGCAAATCATGATGGGTTTTGCTCTGTTAAGGCACTACCTGGCCCAGCACCTGTTCTCAGACCAGCTCTGCCCATGGGGTCACTGCTCATCTGCCCATGCATCAGGAATTCTTAAGAGCCAGGAACAAAATTGGCGAGGCTTTATAAACATCATGTATTGAATTATCACAAGCTAAGTGACAGAAAATGAACAAGAGTTAATCACATGACAGACAGGGAGAACATCTCTGTGTAGCAATCATTTCAAAGGCAAATAGAAATATTTATAGGCTGAGGGTTGCACAAGTTGCCACCACGCACTGGCAGGAGATGTGCTGTGGGTTTGCTTTAGGATGGGGCTGCAGCAGGCGTGTGGGCATGGCTGTGCTGAACGGCAAGGCTCGTCCCAAGCTGGGTTCAAAGGGATGTGCTGGGTACAATTCTGCAAAATAAGTGCAGAATGTAAAACATGCTGGTGATCTTCTATTTCCCAGCAGTTGCAGACTGGCCCCTGCTACTCTGTGCGCCTGGCAGGGACTGCTCGTTCTGGTGGGAGCAGAACACACTTGCTGGTACCTGCAGAGGATAAAAGGGAAGAGATGATTTGTTCACATCCCAAAGCAATCCCTGCAGGCAGATTCAGAGACAGGTTTCCAATTGCCTCCATTCAGAGACACCAAGCAGGCTTGTGAATCCTGTATATTTTTAGCAGCAGCATAATATCAGTGGAAATCTAATAAACTTTGCCATCAAATATTTATCCCATTACACCGGCTTAAGTAATTCAAGCTACTGAAATCAACACAGTGTTTTTATTTTTAATGAGCCTGCTGTAAAACAGCCTCTTCTATCATTGTCAGGTGTGCGTGGAGGAGAGGTACGTCGGCTCAAAGCGCTTTTAATCTCCCCGAAGAAACAATGCTAAATAATGGAGAACGTTTACCAAAACGCTGTGTATCGCTGGGAGAAGAGCTAAGCAGGGCTGGGTAAGGCTGCAGCTCTGTGCCCAGGGCAGAAGGGCTGCCGTGTGCCTTGCAGGTCTCGGGTCGCAGGCAGTGACAGTGGGCAGGAGCTGCGGTTCCCACAGCATCTCCGGTGGAACAGTGACCCCCAGCGTCTGCAGCCCCCCACCCGGAGGAGACGACTTGTTTGCACGACTCTTAATGCAGCTATGAGGTGCAATCGGAACAAAATGTTGGTCTGCATTGTGGCAGCGATTCTGGGCTGCCGCAGCAGCGTAATCACACCAATTACTGGTTGCAGCAGACTGGTCCCAGTGGGGTGTTTTGTGCTGGGAGAGATTTACTCGGGTTTTGTGAAACACTTTAAAATATCCACGTTGCTCGGAGCTGCTGGAGCCTTTGGAAGGGAATGGAGCTGTGGGCAGTGCCTGGGGAAGAAGGCTTTGCCATACAACCACTTGAAACAGCTACAAAAGTCAGGTGTTTGCACGAGAAGCACCTGCCACTGCAGGCAGCTCCTCTGGACTCTTGAGTTCTTACATCTGCCTTAAGGGTTTTCATTAAAGTAATGAGTTTCTTTTCTGGCAAAGCCAGTGTACTGTTTTATTATCTCCATTATTATGCCATATTCTGGCACTCTGCATTTTGTTCTTGATAAGATATTAGAAAGAAATCTAAAATAAGACTCAGAAAGGTTTTTCGTGTGGCAAGCATAATATGCAATTACGTGGCATGGGTTTCCTGTTGTTTTTTTTTGTATAGCCTCTCTGGTTCCTGGTGTGAGTATTTCTAAGTAATGAATACAGAGGTGTTTGGATTGGAGCAGTGCATAGGCACTCAGGATGGCATTGCTCAGGGCAGCAGGTGTCAGAGGGCTGCAGGCTCCCTTGAATGTTTCAGTTCTGGCTGTGTTATCAGCTCATCAGCAATTCTTCCAGGAGACAGTGGCTCCGGGAGCCCCAGATCAGCACTTCAGTATTCACTGTCATTACCTGAGTTGGCATGACAACATTGCGGCGGTGCAACTGGGAAGAATGATGGGGAAAAGCTGTGTCTCCAAAGCTCAGCTAAGCCATCCTGCTGGAGCTGCTCTGCAAGCAGGCTGAGGGCAGAGGGACACTGCAGCCCAGATCTCACTGTCCCAGCTGGGAGGCGGTGCATCATCATTCTGCTTTCTCCCCAGGTGCTGCTAATGAAGAAGAATGAATGCAGCCACTTGAGCTAAAAATAACTTTTCCATAGCAGGAAAAGACCAGTCCGTGCTCCTGCTGGATGCTTGGTTAGTTTGATAGATCTCTCATTCAACAGTTTGCAGCCGTTACATTTGCAGGCAACATTATTTTTGGCTGCTGTCCCTTGCATGTCACTAATGTTTAACCAAATGAACTTGCAGGATTATAACAGACAGAGACACTGGTGGAAGTGACAGGCACAGAGACAAGTGCTGCAAGAAGCTAATTTACACATCGAATTTCACAGCCCGAGCCTCCCTTCCTGCTCAATAAGCTCATCAGCTGCTGCTTCATACCCGCCAGCCAGCTCTCATAAAAACGAGGGAGCTCAGAAAATGGCTTTTTTTTTTTTTCCTTTTTTTCTTTTTTTTTTTTTTGCCTGCCTGCTTAGACAACAGATTCTAATAAAAACCACTTTTTAATATGGTTGAGGCTAAGTCCTCTTTTATGTGGAAATGTGAATTTAATGTAAATAGTTTGCGCTGCTCTTCTTCTCTTTAAGGGCTTGTTGGCTGCTGGCAGCTCTGTGCAGTCTTTCAAGGCACTCCAGAGGCACTGAGCTCTGAGATGTGGGCAGATCTCTGAGGGGGTTCTTGCTGCCTCTCCTAGGGGCCTCTCTGCAATGGACGTTTTCTCAGACAGCAATCAGAAAATGCAACATCTGCCGTTGTGAAATTGCCCCCATTTTCCCATGGAGGAAGGTTGTTATTGAGGAAGAACGCAGTGCATGGGATCCAGGAGCTTTGCAAAGAAGCTTTACAGGTTGATGGCTGGACTTGACAATCTCAGAAGTCTTTCCAACCTTTATGATGCTGATTCTAAGCCCTGGCGTTCTGGCTTTGTCTGTGCAAGGTGTGCACAGACAAGGATGTGGATGGATGTGTCCAAGGCCACCTGGCTGAGTCTGGCACCTCAATGTTATGGAAACCATTCATTCACATCTCCAAAATCCTTTTTTTTTTTCTTTTCTTGCTATTTTCACAGAGGAAATTGAAGCGGCAACCAAGCTTTCCTGCATCAGAAATGCTGCTCTGCAGCCAGTTCCAGTCTCTCCTGTTTACGAGGCAGTATAAGTTTTCACTGTATAATAAAAACAATCATCTGTATTCCTTGGCTGCGAGCAACAACACTGACAGTGGAGCAAGTTTTGGTGCTTTGGAGGAGAATATGAATCATCTCAGCCACAGAACAAAGCGCAGAAGACCCCTGAGCACTGAGCAAAGCTGCACAACAACGCACCAGGCCTGTTCTCCAACCTCTGCAGGCGTTGCGGTGCTGAGAAAAAGCATCCGAGAGCTGAATATCCTCAGAGGAATATTGCTGCCACATCTCTGAGGTTTAAACTGTTGCTCGTGTGGCTTTTTTTTCAGGCCAGGATGCACAGATGGGAATGTTATCTTCTGGATTGGGGCGGGAGCGCAGGTAGCAGCCCCAAACTGAGGAGAATTGTGGCTCTGAAGCAAGGAAGCACGTTATCCATGCAGAATTACAGAGATCCCCATCGTGTCCCCAAAGCACGCAGTTAACAGGGGGCAGAGATGTGGTTTTGTGCTATGGGCACAGCTGTAGGCTTGAGCTGCCCACAGCCATCGCCCCCCACGAGGCCACACGAAGCTAATGAAACTCATGGCTCTCCTCACACTCCTTGAAGTTAAGGAGGGATTTGTGTTCCTGACACCATTCGTTTCCCAAGGGCTGGATCATGACCTTTCCAATGCACATCTTAGAACCAAAGCTTCCAGAAAGAAGGCGCTGGAAAGCTAAAGACCTGACGTGATTATCACCCGCACAGCCTGCACGCAAATTTATTTCAGTTTCTTTCCAGAAGAAACGCTCGGCGCTGCGTTTCGCCTCAACAAAAGGCGGTTTAACGTCCCGATGGCCCCGGATACCCGGCAGCCAGCGGCCTCTCCCCGCCCCTCCTGTGGGGAAGGGCGGCCCGCAGCGCGGCGCTCGCACCAGGCGGGCATCGCCGCCCCTCCCCAAGATGGCGGCGGGCGGGAAGGCGCGAGCCGGGGCAGGCGGCGGGAGGAGGCGGCAGGTGAGGGCCGAGCCGGGCTGCTGCCACGGGACGGGACGGGGAGCGCCCGCAGAGAGCTCGGGATGTGGAGGCCGTGCCGTGTTCAATGGCGTTGTGGTGGTAGCGGGCAGGCCCGGAGCGATGGGGAAGCGCCCAGCGGTGACGAGCCCCGACCTGCCTGTTACCACCCGTGTGCCTCAGTGCGTTGTGGGGTCTGTAATCAACTGCGCAGCGAGGCTGTGCTGTGTGGCACCGTTCTGTGGTCTGTAGCGTCCCTGAATGGCGCGGGGATGGCGGTCAGCCGCGTCCTGCCCCGCTTTGTGCTCTGAGGAGCTGTTGGCCGTGAGCTGTGCTCTGTTCGGACCGCTTTATTCTCCCACTTGTGTTTCCCACAGCTGTGCTGGGGAGGTTTCTCTCAGAGCTTCATGCCCGGCTTCCCCACACGAGCTGGCTGCTGATGTGTTCGGGTGCTTTTGAACTTCAGGAGCTTCTCTCTTTTTTTTTTTTCCTACCTAACAGACTTGTTCACACAAAGCAGCTGGGAAACGGCCCACCAAGAGGCTAAAATGTGAAAGAAACAGTCTGATGAAGTCAGGACTGGAAGGCTGTATGTGTGGGGGTGAGAACCTTCCTGCACCTGAAGCACCTGCTGAGGGCTCGACTTCAGAAGGTACAGGAGATCACCAGGTAATTCAACGGGAAAAAAGTGAAAGCATCCCAGAGACGGGTGGAGAAAAACAGAAGGAAGGTGATGTTTCTTCAAAGCCGTGTGCAGCGAAATCAAGGAGTGCTCCTTCAAAAACAGAAAGCAGTGAGAATCTGCAAGATCGTGCCTGCAGGGAGGAGGAGAGCAGCTGTGAGAGCTTGCTTTTGGAAGGGACGGGCTTGAAGGATGGAGACATCCCTAAGAAACTAACAGAACTTGATAACAGTGCTTTCTTGGATGACGACAGTAACCAGCCGATGCCAGTGGATCGGTTCTTTGGAAACATTGACTTTATGCAGGTAAGAAAGTCTGCCTTTAACGCTGTGTACATTTGGACACGTGATGCCTCCATCTTTTTTCTGTTTAATGAGTGTTGTGTTAGTGGGAGCAGTGAGGATTCATTTGTGGAGGACTTTTATCTCCTCTGCATCCTTTTCAAGACTACAGAGGGAATGGCAGCCCTCACTTTGACCACGAGCAGTGGCTGGTTCAGACAGGCTCCATTTTGCACTCTAAGGGTTTATTCAGATGTCACTTCCATGTGTGTGTTAATGCCTCATGTATGAGAGTGGGGAAGAATGGGAACTGCTGGAGATGTGGGAGGTCTGCCATTTGCAGCAACTTCACTTCATGATTTCTTCTTTTAGGACCAGCTAGCAGCTGTACTCCCGAGCACAGCAATGAGCAGGAGGGAATACAGAAGGCTGCATTTCATTGCCAAGGAAGACGAGGAGGAGGACGAGGATGCTCTCTAGCAGCAAACTGTAAAAGAGAGGAAACTTTGTTTTCAGTTTTCTTTGTCTTTCTACCACTGTAATGGTGGCTGGCTGTATCACTAGCATGATGTCAGTGTTTGCATTTTCTTAGAGAACGGGTAGAGTCTTCTTCTACAGAGTTGTCAGATACAGGATTCCCTACTCTTTTTCTGGGGCAGTGTTTGACTGAATTCTCAGAGAACTGGACATAAATTGTAATTTATTATTAATCGCTAGTACTTAGAAGAAAGCATGGAAAATATCAGCTCCTAATGTTACAAGACTGAACTCATATTTACAGCAAACACTTGGCCTATTCTCACTTATTTTTGAAAAATTATCATCTTAGGACAGTTCTTTTATTTCTGTGATGTCTGCCATTACAGCATCTTGCTAGTAATGCAGCCACTTGACTGGCCCACTTTAAAGAGGGACACCAGCCTCTGTTGTGCAAGTTGTTTTGCATTGTTTACCTTTAAAATGCAGTTCTGCTGGCAAAACTCAATGCACATATGTGACTATGAATTCAATGCTTTTTATCTCCAGACATTAAGTAGTTCGTATTGCTCCTCTGTTCTCTGAACAACCATGTGAAGCTCACAGCTTCCGTCTTCCACATCAGCTGTAAGCACTGCCCTTTTAACAGCTCTGTAATGCAAGATTGTTCAGTATTTTCAACTGACTTCCAAAGGTTACGAACAGAAATGTTGTAAACAAACACATTGGCAGTGATAAAGGCAGAACAGAATCTCTCAGTAGGACTTTACTGGTAGACAAACAAGTACTGATGGCCAAGTAGATATGGGTCAGTCCTTCAAATCTGTTATTTCTGGCCTGCATTTTTAGAAGATGATGAGCAACCTCACATGATTCCAGGAATTGCTAACTCATCCAGTGTCCATGATAATACTTTTAAAGTGTGATTCTGCAAGAAGCTCTCAGATATTTATTATTGTAAAAATAAAGAAACTATTTCTAAAAAGAGTGAGAAAATATGATCAGCAGATGGTTTAACTCAATATTAATTTCTACAGCTACAGTATGTTGAACATTCAAAAATCTGAAGCCAAACAAATTGTATATGCATGACATGTTAATTTATTCAAATTCCCACTCCAGTTGATGTATTGTTTCTGTCAGTGCTAGTTCTTGGCTCCTTTTTACTCTTAAGTCTGTAACATTGAAAAAAATCTTCATATTTTAGCGTACTCGTGGTTTTCATCACAACTCCATCTAAAAGCAGTTCTCCCAGCTTTCCTTAAATGCCATATTAGCTAATTTTTTTTTCCTATGCAGTATCTTCACACACACACGCTCGGTGCAGAATGGTGTTCGTAAGAAATGTGCTACGCTGACAGCACAATGCTTGTCAGAATCTTTACTGCACTCCTTTCCCCAGTACCAAAACACCAGAATGTGCATTTTCACCTTTGTTACTGTTGATGTATATTCAGTAAGATGATCAGGATGGCTCAATCCAATGGTGCTGGAACTCCTTACTAAAAATGCACCTGCCTTTTTCATGTTGAAACGTTTGGGAAAGGAATTGAATTGTTGCTTTAATTAGCACTGTCTGTAGCAAAGCTCCTGCATTTCCAAGTCCTAGCAAGTCAGGACTCACACAGCAATACCATCTTAATAATAATCCTGTCTGAACGGGATGAATTTATCTGATAAGAAAGAAAACCAGTGATAGGAAGAAAATGGAAAAAAAAATCCAAAACCAACAACCAAAGTAAACACCCAGAAGTTTCCTTTGAGATAAATGATGTTAATGTCTGGTAAATATCCACTACTTAATTGATAAGCATCTTTTTCTGGGCTAAATCTTTCTAGTCTGCAGTGGTCGTGCTGTATTATACCTTACTGTTGACTACTCATGCATCTCTACCTCCACATACACACACAGAAAGATGGCAGTGATTTTACTTTTATTTTTTGATTTAAAAAATACTCATCCCTGAGAGTTCAGTTGCTATCAGCTGATATTTAGAAAAAAAAAATGTAAAAAATGATCTATTTGTATTTTGTTACCTGAGAGGTAGTGCTTTACAGAAGCAGTATTCTGCAGACAAACATGATTACTGTATAATAAGACTCTATGTGTTGCCTCAAGAAAGCTCAATTAGAGAGGCAAAGAGTGAAAGGTGAAGGAAATCAGTGGGAAAGATGACAGCACAATGGTGGTAAAAGCAGAGATGCACCACAGCCCTGCTTACTCCTAGAAGACCTGCATCTATGTAGCAGTAGATTGAATGGTCACAGATGAGTGCAGATATTTTCGTAGAGAAAAGCCAGCAGCTCTGCCACTGAATTATTTGGACTATCTGGGGTACGGTGCCCGTCTTCCTGGTGCAGGCACAGAATAATTATCCTAAAGTATTCTCTGGCTTAACATTGAGAGCAGTATCAATCTACTTTGAATCATTTGTAAGAAAGTTCAGTTTCTGTACCATGCATTTTGCACCTACATTTATCACAGCAAGCAAGAAATCATAAGGTATCATCAGTGTCAGCTTCTGGCCTCTGTTTTGCACACTGCGGCTATGAGTCAGCTTATCACACTCAGCACAGTGTCATCTAAGGTGGGAGAATCAGGCACGATCTGAATGTGTGCTTTGTGAGATTGCAGTTCAATTAATGCACTGGAGGTGATAAAGGAAGAAGTCCTTGGCAGAAGAGACTTGCTAAGTAAGGTTTTGTTTAAGAAACAAGAGCTATTTAAACATGATGCCATCTTACATGATTTTGAAATGGAAAAAAACAAAACCAGAAGTTGCTTCCAAAGAGAGCACTATGAAATCTCACGGGTTTGCTTCCTTTTTCTGTAAATTTTAGTTTTGTCACAGCTGAGATTATGATTGGTTTTCTTATGGCAAGCAATATGTACAAGTTTTAGATTATTCATTGTAAACAATAGCTGATAAAAGTACTCCCAGTTGACTTCTCTTCCATCTCGTGTTTTGACAGCTTCTGCCAGTTCTGGGACAACACTACGTTTCTTTTCTATTCTGCAGAATGCAAAAGAGAAAACAATATTGCTAGCAAAATCTGTTTTCTTAACAATATGTCTCCATCTTCCTTCTAAAGCAAGGCAGAAGTTGCATTATTTTACTATAACTAGGTTTAAAGTGTTTTTATGAAGAAATCAATTTAGCAAATCCCCTTTGCTTCAGAAGTACACAATGCCTGGAAAGAGGTCTGAAGGTTTCTGCCAGAGACAGGTAAAGAAGAGAGGATATCTTTCATAAAGGACAGTGTGGTGAGCAGGGTAAATTCCCATACAAACAAAATCTGAACAGGTGAATTTGGATTAATGCTTCATACATACATGTGATCGAGATTCCAGGTGCTGAAGAGGATTCTGCTCTCCCTGTTAGTATAGGGGTTGATAGAATGCTTACATGGGCAGTCATCTCTGTCAAAAGGGCCCTGTAAAACAAGGTGGCTGCAATGAAAGGCACGCTACTCATCATCCCAGCTCAGTCCCAGTCCTGAACTGATGCAGCTTCCTCTCACCACAACCAGACACAGGTGATAACACTGCCAAAACTCAGTTCTTCTCTGTGCAAGCACTGAAGTCACCATCTCCTTCCTCTAACGTTGTCACTGCTGCTTCCTAGAACCGAGACTCTGCTTTGGGGCAGGGCTGAACCTACCTGACAAGAGAACCATCCCTCCTTTGTGCACAGGCGCATCGCTGCCTCCTCCTCTGTCCTGTCAAAGTAGCTGCCATTATATTTCACAGATTTCAGTTTATCCGACATCAGGTCGAGTATCCTTTTATATGCATCTCTCGCTGTAGGATGAACATTTGAAATAAAATTACTAACCTAAAGAAAAAAAAAAAAAAAGAAGTACAGTCATTCCTTGGCATCTGGAGCAGCTCATGTCTCTTCTACAAGTGCTGTGCTGGACTACAAAAGTACTTATACATACATGTGTGTGTGTACTTAACACGTAGTCACACTTTTACCTCTTTCATGTAGCTTCGTATTCTGCTTTCACAGCTGTACCGCATATAACTTGATTTGTTCTTAAAACGAGATTCTAGACCTAAAGAGAACCAGATTAATTTAGTACAGTGCTTCTAGTTCTGTGCATCTGCTTATGTGTACTTATGCCTTCATTTCACAAACTCAGTAAACAGGCTTTTTTCTTTCACTGGTTCAAGGCTAGCCTCAGGGCTTAACAGAACCACGCAGCCCATCTACTTTGAGAGCAGGGCTGTGTCAGCTGTGACACGCAGGCTGTTGTTCATCACTGGTGAGAACGCACAGCTAATGGTGATGACTGTGTAGAAAAGCAGTGTTTTGTAGCTGCGAATTTGCTCTATCGAATAGCATTATTGTGTTCTTTGTATGTGGAACACTGTGCCCGGTTCTGGGCTCCTCTGTTCAAGGCTGACTGGGAAGTCTGGGACGCCCAGCAGAGGGCTGCAGAGACGCGGGGTCTGGAGCATCAGGGAAATGCTGAGAACCACGGGGCTGCTCAGCCCGGGGAAGAGAAGACCAAGAGCGGATCTGAGCAATGCTTATCGATATCAGAAGGGCAGGGCAGGAGGGCAGGGCCAGGCTCTTATCAGCACAAAGGACATCGGGCGCCAGCCGGCGCTCTCGGATCTGCACAGGAGCACGAGGAATCGCGTACCCTCGAACCACTTCCCGTCCTCGTCCCGGCGCTCGGCCGCGCTGTCCCCGCTCAGGTTGTGGATCAGATCCGCCAGCAGCCTCTGCCTGCGGGGCGCCCGCTCGTCCTCCAGCAGCCTCCGAGCGGCCTCCAGCACCGCGTCCGTCCGGCAGCACAGTGCGGCCAGGAACCGCTGCAGGTCCCCGCAGCCTGCGGGCGGATCGCCCTTTAGCAGCCGGCACACGGATCGCCCTTCAGCAGCCCGCAGCTCCCCCTCCGCGCCCCGCACTCACAGCCCGGCCAGCTCTCCCCGGGCCGCAGCAGCACCAGCTCCGTCTGCGGCGGCAGCGTGCGGAAGAACGCCTCGCTCAGCTCCGTCCCGTCCTCGTAGAGGCACAGCCGGCTGCCTGCCAACGGGAGCTGCCCGGGCGGTCGCACGGGACCGGGTCACACGGGACCGGGTCACACGGGACCGGGACCGAAACCCGCGACCCCTGACCCCCGATCCGCACCTGCAGCAGCCGGCAGCCCTTCCGCAGCAGCCCACGCAGGCTCCCCGCCGCCGCCCCGAACTTCTGCGCGTTGCCGGGCCGGCGGAGGCGGAACGGCCTGAGCGGAGCCGCCATCGCTGCGCCCGCCGCTCCCCCGCCTGCCGCTGTGCGCACGCGCGCCGCTGCGGCCCGCATTGGGCGCTGCGCATGCGTGGCGGCGCTCGCGCCGTTGCTACGGTGACGAGCGATGGAGCCGCGCTGAGGTGAGTGCGGTGCGGTGCGGGCCCGGATCGATCCTTTCTGCTTCCCCCCGGCCGCGGAGCTCCCCTCGAAGGGCCGTGCCAAGCCGGCCCGGCGTTCAGGGCCCCTACGTGGCGGCTCGGGCCGTAGAACGGCTCGGTAAAGGCCGTTTTCCCGAGCTGGCGTCGCTGAGGCCTGCGGGGCGCTGCCCTCCCTGCTGAGGGAAGGGCGGGAAGAGATTCCTCACAGCTCCGTCCTGCGGTGTGTGTGTGTCTGTCCGTGTCTGTCTGTCTGTCTGTCTGGGGACCTGCACGGCTGTGAAATGCTGCCCGGTGATTCCTGCCTGCATCGATTCTGTTCTCTTGTTGTTATTATTCCCTCCCAAACGCTCGGGGTGGGGTGTCACATTGCTCTGAAGGTCCTGCATCTGGACGGATGGAGCAAGGAGAAGCTTCTGGGCTCATCACGGTTTGAGTTTTGTCTTGGATCGTTAGATTTAGCCCTCCAGTACTTGGAAGGAGCCCACAAGAGCTCTGCATTTTACACAGTCTGATGGCTTAACTTGCTGTAGAAGTTAACCAAGCCCTCGCTTCACCAAATCCTGCTAAAACGCTCAGCGTAAGAATGGCTCAGCTTATGGAGCTGGCATTAAATAAATTCAGATTTGCAGTCATCAGCTGCTGGCTTAACGGACCACAGTACGGAATTCTTGGACTGCGGTGTTTCAGTGTTGTTTTATTGCCTTCCTAAGGATTAGCTTAAGTTTGAAACGTGGTTGTTTTGAACAGCTCACCTCTGCAGGATGCCTCACAAGATTGGCTTTGTAGTCGTTAGCTCATCAGGACACGAAGATGGCTTCAGTGCAAAGGAGCTGATGGTCCACGCACCAACAGTGAATGGATGGCGGTCACCGAGGTACTGCAAGGGAGAGGAACGTGTTTAATCCTGCAGCACTGAGTGTACATTGAGTGGGAGATGCAGCATACGTGTTCAGACTAGTTTAATGCATGCTAGACCAAATTGGTTATAAAACCAAAGCATCTAAGTTACTTTAACCCCGTGGAATCCTTATTCTGCAGGGAAAAAAAGCCTTGGTTACACCAAAAGGTCATCTTAGAGTTTGCAGCTGGGTGACTTGGTATTAAAACTACAGTCTTCACAATACATCTTCTGGATGTATGTAGTTGTCTTAGTTTCAGCTTAGGATCAGTCCTTTTCCTTCATAGAGACTGATATGCTGCTATGTTAAACCACAACAGCAGTGCACTTTAACAGACACACGCATTAAAGTGCATTTTCACACACATTAAAGTGAAAAATGTTTCTACTCTTTGTTTTTGCAATATTTGTAATGATGGCAAACTATAATAACTTTGGAAAGTTTCATGATTAAATGTTATTCAAGTTGGAAGTGAAGTGATCTTTAAAAAGATGGCTCAACATTGTGCACATTTTCAGACTCTGTCAGTATCCACAAGAAATCATTCTGCAGTTGGTGGAGAGATGTCGAATACGAAAACTGCAGCTGCTTGCTCACCAGTACATGATATCAAGCAAAATTGAGTTCTTCATCAGTGAAAGCTTGCCTGAATACTTTGCTCCTTATCAGTCAGAGAGGTTTCACAGACTAGGGTGAGTCTGACAGCTCTGAATTGTTGTATTACCTTAATCAAGGCCTCAGAAGGAAATAAAAAGCAATCTGGGGAAACTGGGGCTGATCCAGCCATGTTGAAATCAATGGGTTAAAATCAATCACTCTTAAAGCAGCAGGGCCTGACTGAGCCTGTGAGGTTTATTTGGTTTCTACAAGAGTCATGATGCAGGTGAACACTTTTGTAAATGACAGCATGCTGTTTGGTTTATGAGTGAGTTTTAAATCTGATCAAAATGCTTAGTTGAGGAGTCAAAACACAGCTGTGTGTTTGTGTGTTTCCTCTGCTTACTGCTACATTTTCCTTCTCAGTTATGTCCCTCTCTCAGACAATGAGAAGACAGGTTTCAAAGCTCGAGAGTTAAAATCTGTGTATATGGATGCAGTTGGCCAGTACCTGAAGCTGATTTTCCATAAAAATTATGTCAATAAATACAACTTGTACAGTCAGGTAAGTTGAGTTGTGCTGCTTACTTTGTAAGTTAGGTGAAGTTTCGGTAGCATGGAGTGGGCATAGAAATCTGCTCCCTGAATTTGTAGAAACTGAAATGCTGATGAATGCTCCTGAGTTTATTTTTATTCATGACCAAATGCATGCAACTTATGCAGAGCAAATGAGTTAAGTGCACGTTCCATCACTGCCTTTTGTTTTGAGTTTTAGCCTGCATAGCAGGCTCTGTGCTGATGACAAGGTGAGTTTGTAGACAATATTAAAATTGTACATTTTCCTACATTTAAGTAAAAGCAAG